AGGGTTCACTTCTAATGAAGCATTTTAAGGAAACAAGCTTTTCAATGGAGGGCATCAGCCCAAAACAACCGTTTCCTGGTTTAAGCCGTGAGCTGTGGAACGGCAGCTTCCTGACTGAAGCGCCGCTCACTGGATGACTCACTGAGTTTCTTCTAAATACATTTTTAAGGTAGAAGTAAAGTAAAACATGAAGACTGAGACGAGACTAATTTTCCTCGGGTCACTTCTGTTTGTGAGGCCACGTTTGGTTGATGTTGAACAGATCACGTTGGGCCTCAGTGACGCTGCCTGGTGTGTGTGTTTAGGATAAGTGAGACTTTCTGTTCTCTCTCTGTGTGTCAGTCACATTCAGAACAGGCAGATCGCCTGGACTCTGTGTCTGATGGATGTTCACGATGTCACTGAGGTGACAGACAGAGCATGGACAGGGCTGGACTTTCACACATCTGCAGGCCTGTGTTATACACACACACACACACATACACACACACACACACGTACAGAGAAGATGTACGATCTGTTTCTGTCTAACCAGAAACAAACATACGACCTTTGTCACGGCAATTTGTTTCCACAATCACAAAGTATTTGTCAAGTTCCAGTCAAGGAACGTAGAAAAAGATGCACAAAAAGGATGAAAAAATTACAATAAAACAAATACATTTTTTTGAGAAAGTAGTATCACATAGGAACTTTTATTATTACTATTTATATATCTATTTTTTATTATCTTGTAATACTCACTAGACCACTGGTGGGTAAACGTTTGGCTCACAGACCAAAATGATGTTCAGAATTTGCCTGACAGACCGGTTCAGTTTTGATTGGATGTAGAATGCTGTGCAAATAAACCTACATTTTGAAGATAATCTGGCACCTTTGATGTCTGCCGCCATTTAGTGGCATCAACAGAAATTACAGTCGATTCGTCTTAATGCATGAAACAGAAAGATGTGTGTTTAACGGGCCGGAATAGAAAGCTCAGTGGGCTGCATCTGGCCCACAGGCCGTAGTTTGCCGAGGTTTGCAATAGACAAAAGCACCTGCAACAACTAGCTAATGTTGAAAATTAAACAAAATAGGGAAACAGACAAAAACTAATATATATAAAGCAATAGAAGTAAAAAAAAAACCCCAGTAGTGCAGTGTGATGATGTATGGATGTTTACCCTCCGGTACGTCTGTGATGATGAGTAGCAGACACAGACTGACGCACTATGATAATGTCCAGTGAACTTCCTCCTGGACATCAAACCCAACTGAAGTCTGGTTTGATCACAATTTCTTTAAAAGATTCAGTTCATTCCAACAAAATCCATTATTCCATTTCTTGGCTGTAAACATTTGAAGCGTTCTCAGCCCCAATCATCTGGAACCATGTTGTTACCATCTGGCCACTTGGTCAATAATCTGTTACGTTCGGCCTCATTTGCTTTCACTTTGCTGTGTCACCCGCAGTTCAGGATGAGGGAGCGCTGAGGTGAGGACACATCTGGATTAATCATTAGTCCAGCAAATGTGTGTTTGTGTGCATGTATGTTAGTGTGTGTTTGTGCGTGCCTAAATGTACTAAAGAGTAATCATGTGTGTGATTGGTAAAGGCAGAAAACAAAGTTTCCCTCAGAGTGTCACTAAGACGCTGAAACAATAACCAAGGAAAAGAAAGGAAGGAAACCACGGACTGAGAGCTGCCACAAAGCGTATTCACTACTTTTTGAATCAACACGGAACTACACCACAAGTTCAACGAACGTACGTGTTTCATTACCCTTTCGTACAAAAGAAAAAAACTTCTAATCAGTGCATGAAGGGGTTTTTGAAATTCTGATTCCCTACAGTATTTCCCAATAACATGTGCAAATGTAATCATACGAAGTTATAGGGGTTATGACAGTGAGTCAGTGATTGTTTGAGAGGTTGTAATTATTTAGTACTTTGCTACGTAATGTATTAATGCATCCAAGCACTGGTTTGATTTAGCCTTGGTCACATTGTCTATCGTGGTGTCCCTCGGGGCTAAATATTCGGCTTAATTTTTTCTCACTTCACAGAATCTCAGAGGCAGATAGATTTCCCTAATTTAACAATTTTCATAATCCAGCAGCGGCCAAATTGGAGGGTTTGGTGGGCCAGATGCAGTCCACGGGCCACCAGTTGAAGACCCATGCTCTAAATGGACTGTTTGACTTGAAAATAAAACTGCAATCAGAACATTCCCCTACTCATAATTCATGACTTTTATTAAAAACTAAACTATAGGCAAAAATAAAAAAAACAATTACTGCCAAAAGAATCATTTAAATCAAAACCTGTAAATCATGAAATGTGAGCGAAATTAATGTTTTCCACTGAATACACCGTATGTGAAGTAGACAAACACAACATAAATCACATCTGAGCCTCATTAGACGCTAAAGGTTAGACTGTTGAGTTTGTGTCAGGCAAAAGGAATGTCAGGAGACACACACACACGCCTGAGCTTAAAACATAAATGAACGAACATTTAAAACAACCAAGGTGGAAAAAACAGAATCCAACTGTACGACGCAAAGACACGAAGACACAAAGACACGAAGACAGAAACAACACCAGCTAACTGACTTTGTTGTTTAGGCAGTTTGAAGATGTGACTAATGTGAGGTCACACGCTGTGAGGAAGGAGTTTTTGAAAAATGCTACATTCGTCTAGTTTCCTCCTCTCATCATACATGTTTTTACAAACACTCCCCTCCTCCTCCCCCCTGCTCTCCTCACCCCTGCTCTCCTCCCCCCTGCACTGACAGCTGAAAACAGAGGCACCTGTGACAGTGTAGCTGCTGTCAATCCCAGCACAGATGCCACAGTATCTTCTGCAGGATGCCGGGGTCACCACCTCCCGTCGGTGCCACATTTGTCTTCTCTGTACATCAACTCCATCAACTCTTCCCAGGACATTCCTCTCCTACTCCCAAATTCCCAAACGGGTCATGCTCAACAACGTGGAAACAGCCGGATCACGAGCTTCACCAGGGAACATCTCCACATACCTTCGACATGTCTGCGCAGGAGTGTGTGTGTAGGTTCAACTGTGTGTGTGTGTGTGTAGGTTCAACTGTGTGTGTGTGTGTGTGTATAGAATACGTGGCAATGTGTAATAAAATTATGTGTGTGTGTGTGTGAGTCATGGTGGATTTGACAAAGTAATGATGGCTTACAAGGAAGTCCACAGTCTTACATGATGTAGCCACACACACACACACACACACACACACACACACACGTATTTAAACAAGCTTCTTCTTGTCTTTTTTGCCTTTAAATAAAAGGAAACTTATAGGCGACGTTTACATTTAAAGACTTTTCTATCTATCCATCTGTCCCTCTGTCCATCTGTCACTCTGTCCATCTATCCCTCTGTCCATCTGTCACTCTGTCCATCTATCCCTCTGTCCATCTGTCCATCTGTCCCCCTGTCCATCTGTCCCTCTTGCCATCTATCCATCGGTCCCTCTGTCTATCTGTCCATCTGTCCATCTGTCCCTCTGTCTATCTGCCCCTCTGTCCATCTATCCCTCTGTCCATCTATCCCTCTGTCCCTCTGTCCTCCAGACAACAACATGTCCCCACTGCCTTTAACCCATCCATTAAACAGTCCAGTTATCGACACCAGTCGTAGCTGAGACCTGGGAGACTCTCTCTGCTGCAGTTGGGTAACGTGGGAGTTTTTGGTCCATGCTCCTCCAAGTCCCCCGATCACTCGATCATGTTACCACTGGTTCACTCAGTCCTCTTTACACAACAGAGCGGGATGAGGTGGAAACTAAAACCGTATGTGGGTGGGTGGGTGGTGGTGACGGGTCATTAATATTGCTTGTTGTGGGGATCAGTCTCACATCAAACAGTGAATTCTGAAATATAACCACGTACTTCAGTGTGTCATCAACTCCACTCCAGGTTAGCGTAGCGACGTGGTTGTAGCCTCATGTTAGCTGTGGACTGGTGGACTCACAGATCGATTTTAGCCTCAAGGCCTTGAGAAATTACTATCAACAAAATACTTTTCCGGTGAAATTGAGAGCTTTCCAAATGCTTAATTTAGATGGGGGTATTTTATTTTTCGCTCTCCACGATAACTTCAGCCCCAGTCTTGTTTGTAGCAGTGGTTTGTGTGCAGGTGTATACATGTTGTCCTAGACCAGGCAGACAGCAGTGGCAGCAGATAAAACCACAGCCAAGAACCAGGGACACACAGATTAAAGCCGGAGGTGAGGGATTAGTTCCTGGAAACTTTTTTTCTGTTTCTGCAGCGCTTGTGTTTTTCATTGTGTGGACGATGACTCACCGTATTAAATCGAAGAAAATCATTTAATGAGATAATAGGGCTTTACTTAGTTCATAGACGCAGCAAATTTAAAGTGTTTTGACTGGATTGGTCTCGTGTGTATTAACAAGTGTGTGTGTGTGTGTGTGTGTCAGAGGTTCCAGGTCTTTTGAAACTCTTCTTACTTGTAGGGATCATTGGGATCTTTGGCGTTGCAGGCCTCGGCGTGTCCATTACACACACAGCGTCCTCCAATACTGATGTCTTTGATGCTGTAGTAGTACTGCAGAGTGACAGCGACAAAAAACACCGTTATTACTGCATATTATTGACACAGGTTTCTGACAAATACACACGTTACATCCTAGTTCTCAGGGCACTCCTCTGTGATCTGCCCGTGGTTCTCACCCTGCGGGTAACTGTGGGGTCGCGCAGGGCCTTGCCCATCAAGTGTCCGAGCAACGTGTTGGTTCTCAAGAAGCGGAGCCTGATGTTGGTGGCTTTGGTGAAGTCCCGCAAAACAGGAGAGTAGGAGAAGTTCATGGCGCCAGGACGACCGTTGACCAAGGACACGACAACCTAGAGAGGAGTGAAGGACGGACAGAGACTTTATCACTGATTCATTACCAGAAAATAACACTATGACTGAGAAAACGGAAGTTAATCAGTGGTTTTGGAAGTTCTTCAAACTTCGAACTTTATTAATCCCTCAGGAAATTAAAATTAAAATATCTAGATAGATCGAACTTTATTAATCCCTCGAGAAATTAAGATTATAGTATCCAAATGTTATAATAAAAGTATAACTTGACAAGAATAAGGCCTTAAATGAACTGGACCATATTGGAAAATTAATTCTGTATAAAAACTACTATAAAAAGAAAAACCAAACCTCTCCATTTTCGAGCGGGACTATACGAGAGTATTCAGTGGTGCAGATGACGTCGTCGTCAGAGTTGATCCTTTCAATGGTTCTTTGACCAAATCGTTCAATACACTCTCTTTTGGAGGCTGAACACACACACACACACACACACAGAAACAACAGGGAAAGCAGGAGAAAAAAAAAGAAAGAGAAAAGCTTATAATTAGGTCAAACCACATGTGAACATTTCCTGTGGCATTTTAATGACGTGTCTCGGTGTGAAAATTAAAGGAGAGCCTGGCTGGGCGACGCTCTGTGATTTGACAAACAGACGTCAGCGGCAGCTTCACAGACACATCTGTACATTTCACTAAGTTGTTCATTTCAAAGAAAGTGATTTATGGAAGTATATAAAATTTAAATATGGTCCTTGTATTTGACTTCAAATCTTCCAAACTTTTTTTCATTTCTGCTATAACCTTTACTAAGATATTTGGTTCCTTTTATGTTTTGCACTTTAACCAATTGGTGATGCCATAACATGATACTGTATAAGTACAGCAGCGGTTCTCAACCAGTGGTCCACAAGCCCTTCTGGGACACAGTTAAGGGTTTTGCAAAGCGGCCGTGAATCTATCATCGGACCAATAGGCATGTTTGTGCGACATCACTGAGGAAGGTTTGAGAAAATATGTTGACATTTATACAGAGTTTAGTTAAATTGAAACTACAAAGCACACACTATGATTTTAATCAAGCTTAATTTGTATTTATGTCATGATGATAATCTAGAAAAATGTTATTATATACTGTGTGCCATAAAATTCCATAACCCTCATATTTAATTAAACAACAATTACATCATCATGTTAGTGTCAAATCTTTATACAGAAATGTTAAGTTTCCCGGAAATAATTTTCAGTTTATTTTAAATTGTGTCCCTGACACAGAAGGCGGAAAAAAAATCAAAGATGAAATGTTAATTCATTTTTCTATAAAATCTGGATGTTAAATGTTTGCCCATAGGGCAGAGGTGCAACTGTGGCTTTGAACCAGCAGCAGCAATTCAAGATATAAATGTCAAATATCTGCAGGATTTACAGCTCTGAGGCCGACGCTAACCTACTCTGCGGTATTCTCCACGTACACAGTCAGCCCTGTCTCCTGGTTTCTCTCTGACACAGCACGTTTGGTTCAGGACTTTTTTCTGCTCTTGTCACAGTTTGGTTGAGATGATACAGTAGAGAGAATGGCAGACATTAGACTGGAGACTAAATCATCTTGACAGGAACAGGCTTAAGCAGACAACCTTATCATAAATATATGAAGACACGCCTCCTTAGTTTATAGGTAGAATTTGTCTGGGCTCTATCTGATCAAACACAGGTGAGACTCCTTCAGGTTTACTGCATAAAAACACAATAAACCGCCCATCGTTAGTAACAGACAAGGACAAAAACTACATGAGCAGATCAACTGAATGCTGTGGTCTGTCCATTAGCGAAAGCTACGATAGCAATTTATGGAGAGAGTGACATGATTACTCCAATCATCATCTGACTGGAACAGAAAAAATCCACAACCGCAGGTGTGTATATGCAGTAACTTGGATTCACGCCCTCAGATACAAATCAAAGTTTAAACCGGCTTCCCATGATTTCATTTCATAACTTTGCCAAGTTTTTTTTTTTTTTTTCTAATCAATCATGTCCATCTTGGCCACCTGGAGCAGCCTTCAATAGATTAATAGCAGATATGTCTCATGCAGCACACAGCTGAGGAACACTCAGCCCCACGCACTCCGTCCTCTTCGCTCAGATTTTCTCTTCAAGCTGCGACGTGCCTGGAATTCCCCTGCAGCCCACCTGAACTGACAGCTGCCAGAGTCAATCAGCTGGCAGCTCTATGATGTAATGACGTCCCACTTCTGACCTGACCAACTAACCAATCAACCAATTAGCCGCGGGCCCCCGAGGCTGCAGTTAAACTGGGAGATTAGAGAGAGACTCTGACTGAACCCTGGGGGAGGTTAGGGAAACATGAACTGACGCTGATGGAATTTGATTTGGATTGATCCAAAGGAGCAGACATCTGCAGCCCGACACTGTGCAGTTGACCGTATGTGACGAAGCATTAAAATGTTTACACTTACAGGAGAAGTACTGCCAGGGTTGGTAGGTTTGGCCGAAGTCGACGGATCTCTCCAGAACCCACAGGTCTGGACGGGGTGAGTTGGCGAACTTGATCAGCACATAGGCCACGTGGAAAAGCTGCAGAGACAAAGAAGGAGTTCACGTTAGTTTAGATTTTTCAATGGTGAAAAGAAGAAAAGAAGCGGAGTTTCCTGTTCCTAATTGAAAAACTTTGTTTTTCCCTGAAAATTCCAACCTCTTCGGTGACATCACTGAAATCATCACACGTCTAAACTACAGCCGTGTCAGGTTGTATGACGTAATGTTGACGTTATCGTCGGAAAGCGTCTGATTCCTGACACTAATTTGCACCAGATGCTCCGTCATCACGGCCTTCGGTTTCAGAGCTCGGCCGCCCCTCTTCTTCTTCTGTCATCCCTCATTCATTTCCAAACTGGAGGAGGGAGCAGTTCCACTCTACTGTTTGTCCGTCCGACCCCCAAACTGCTCCCCAGGTGCAACAGAACACAGTGAAATAACACGGTGACACATGGACTAACATTAGAATAAATCACACAGGCATGTGTTTGTTGTACAAACATGACGGCGTTGACGGCCGGTCGACACCTTCAACGCCTTAACTTCAGATCTGATTCACAAACAGAAAGACAGCAGCTGCGTATCTGGCTGTTTTTTTTATCAGCATCAGCATCGGCGCCAAAACTTCAATCAGAAAAAACAATGAATCTGAACAAGTCAGCACTCAGGATGTCTAGACTAGAAGGTGAGGCGGACTGTGGCAAGTGCAGCCCATGGAGCGTTGGTTGCCAACAGGTCCTGACCATGGCCGATGGTGGCAGTGTCTGTGATTCTGAGATTGCAAAGTCAGGTTAGGACACAAACGTGCGTAAAAATGCACAACTAAAGCTTCGACGGAGCTCGGAGTCCAACTAACAGTAAGAGAAAGCGTGGAACTAGCAGCGTCTGGAGGACAGGAAACAGATTGTGAGGCCTCTGAACGTCCCTCAGGGCGGAAGATATTGAAAGAAAAACCCAGAAGCATTCCTCTGATTCCAGGGTTAAGGTTTGACCTGAAGTTCAGAGCCGTTCCTTTGAACAGCAAATATCCGTAAAGTGGAAACACACGACTGAACAAGCAGAGAAATCAGGTGATGCTGGTCGCAAATAAACTCCTGTTCCGGATCACTGGGACGAGACCGAGAACGGGGCAAGAAAAGAAAGTTCTGGTTACGTACGAGGGTAAGACTGAAAGACAGAGGATGAGTTTCAAAAGTTGTCGGATTTTATTGAATAAAACACAAGACACGTCTCTCAGGATTCTCAGTTTTCAATATGAGTTCTTAGAAGAAAGAAAAGTCCATCGGTTCAACCTGGACATGAACCAGGAACCTTTGGGTGTGAAGTTATGAAGTTGTTTTTGAAGATAAGATGAGAGAATTTTGATATTTCTGAAAATACGTATTGAAGTTGTTTTTGAAGATAAGATGAGAAAATTTTTGAATTTTTGAATTTCTGAAAATACGTAAAACATAGGTATTGTTCTTTACCCAGCCCCTGCTGGCCAGCACTGGTATTGCAATGAAACTTGCATGTCTGTGGAGCTTTAAAATCTTAAATATTTTTGACCAAAAATCTATCTAATTTTTCAGCTTTAAAGTTGAACTTCTTTTAAACCTGTATGCTACCTAAACCATAGTCTCTCTCTCTCTCCCTCTGTCTCTCTCTCTTAGCTGTCTGTCTGCGGCCCCCTGTGGGAGTCAGTCTGTTCCCTGGTATGAACACACACATTCACCCAGAGGTTTTGCTGACCTTGTTTCCCTCCAACGCTCACACACACCCTCTGTGGGATTTATGGATTAGTGGCCGTCTCCCTGGTCAGCCTCCCTGAATTGCCTGCAGACTCATCAACCAGACTGCCATTACCATAGCAACGAGAAGCTGGCAACAGGTCAGACCAAAGGGTGTGAGAGAGAGAGAGACTGACAGAAAAAGTAGAGAGGAAGCAGCGACAAACTTATAGGAAGACGTGGAAATGAAGAGTCCAAGCTGAGACCCCGGGGAGGGGAGCACGCCGTCGGCCAATCAAAGCCTTCATGGACACAGCTGTACCTTGTCCTTAAGAGTGACACATGAGGAGCCTGAGACTCGGCGTAATAATTCGTAATTTGTGATGACAGAAGAAGCAGAGCACAGATAAGCGGAGGATGAAAGGGAGCTAACATTATCAGAGGGGTCGTTGTTGGAAAGGTCAAGGTCCGGTGAAGTTGTGATTCAGTGTGCAGTTTTACTGACAGACAGTAGGGGCTGCAGTGAGCTCTCATTACTTTATCTTAAATCAGTGATCATCCAGTTTAGCCCACAACTAGATTCCAAAATTGTGAGGAGACAAAGAGACAATAATGTGAGGTCACCAGTTTAAAAGGTAATGAAAAAAAACAACTAAAATCTAATATTTAAAAATATTTTTATATTTTTATTTGATTTTATTTGATTGTCTGGAAAGTGTATTTTCAGAAAATTCTCATCCTTCAACAAACAGAGTTGGTCATGAACTCTATGTGTGATAGAACAGGTAAAACTGTACAACAAATGATAGTGTTTTAAACTAAGTCCATTATTTATATATTTTGATTAAAAAAAACTATACTTTATTATTTCACATTCCAACCTCAAACACAAAACCAACAAATGTCTGTTCTGGAGTCAGACGTTTAATGATGTGACACATTAACATCAACATGAACCAATTAACTCATAACAAACGCGGCTCTGCCAGATGCTGCTTTAATGACTGCTATATGAACATGTCTCTGAAGAATGCAGGTGTGCCGGTGGTGTGTGTGTGCGTGTGTGTGTGTGTGTGTGTGTGTGTGTGTGGCTGGCCCCTGGCTGGTTTAATAATTGAACACATTCCTTGGTGGCACCACACATTCCCAGTGCCTCAGGTAACCATGGAGATAAGACAGGGGACACTCCAACAATGGGACAGGGGGACAGAGGTATGGAGGGAGACAAATGGACCAGGAAACTTTTAAAGGTTTGTCACGGAGCAGACTTTCAGGGAGAAAATCTTCAATGAAATCCTCACACCTACGGCTCCAGCTCAGATTATGGGATGCTGCAGATGTTCTTCAGTAAAGGTAAACCTGACGACTGTCAGGTAAACCTGACGACGGTCATGGAAGTGACGTACAAACAAATACAATTTTTTAATATGTTCAGCTCAAAAAAGGAAAATGACATCATTGTCAATATCTTACTGCTCCAGCAACAACAACAAAAATGTATGTTTTTCAAAATAATTTCTAAAATCTCAGGCGTTTTATTGTCACTGGTGGTTTTGTAAAATAAACAAATTTAAATGACTTAAATGTTTCTTAAGATCCCATAAATTAAATGTGTAATTTTTGAGTTTTGCGATAATTTCCCTATGTACTGTAATACAATTAAATATATTTCTAAATAAAATATATTATTATTATTATTATTAATTAATTAACTACTTTTGAAATGTCCCTTTAAACGATATTTTTAATCTTTTTTTTTTCTCCTTCCACTGTGTCGTCCCTTTATCTGTCAGTCTGTGTGTAATCTGTAACACTGTCTCCAAAGAGAGATGCAGTGGTGCCAGAGAGGAAGCTGCAGCTGCTTCAGCTGCACACACACACACACACACACACACACACACACACACACAACA